TGCCGAAGTGACAACAAATATCAAATATATGAGCGCCCAATAACAATCGGCGTTCGGAAGCAAACATTAGTTTGGACTGCTTAATGGGATTCTGCTGCTTGAAGTGACTGGACACCATATTTGGTTTACCCGGGGAACGAGATGAGATAACGATCGATGATGATTTGGCTTCACGTTCAAGGTGGTGATGATCATTGCTTGCGGATGACACATTGGAGATAAACTCGTTGTCCGCTTCTTTGGAAGTTCAATTCGAGCAAAATCACTTAATCATTTCGGAATACAATAGGAATATTCAAATGGAATTACTCTGACTGACCAATATGGAAGTCCAGATTCACACTAACTAAGCTGTCGATCACCACGTATAAGGTTCGGACTTGTTCCACTGAGGGAGGAAATTGTGAAAGGAAATTGGATTTCTTTATTTGTATGTATATTTAGTTGCGAAATTCGTAATCAGACCACATTGTTCAAAGGAAGTCATTAAAAGGGCCATGCTTGCTTCTCTATATGTTTCTAATTGAGATTTAATTTGTCTATCGCATTTTTACCTACTTTAAAAATGTGAAGTAAAATAAAAACTCAGGTGGAGTGGAGTGGTAGATATTAATTCGTTTCTAGCTTTGCTATATCACCAAATGAATAATGGATTTGTTATTTACTTGCACAGCTTAAAAGTTTTGAGTGATTGATCTTCTTTAATAAATAATGAAAAGGCAAATCAAAATCTCTTAAAAAAGAAGTGCTCGTGGGCTTAGCTGAATGTATGTGGGAGTAAAGGTATATTTTTGGATCTTTCTTTTAATTGACGGAATAAAAATATGCAAGAGTATTTCGTTTGCATCGACTTATTTATATGTATTAATTTGGTGAATTGTGCTTAGACTTCTATCCCATGGTCCATATCGGCAATTTCCTTTTACTGAACGCGAGTTGAATAATAAATATTCATGTAGGGGATCCAGCATTTTAAGTCGATCGTTAAATAAAACACGACATTTGTCTGGCTGGCCGGAAGTAAACATACGCCCAAAACTCAAGTTCTCAATTAACAGAGGGGCTATCCTTTCGTTGTCGGGGTTTTTTGTTTTTTCATTTTTGCTTTAGTTTTACGTGCTTCTACGTACTTTAATATTCCATTCACGTAGCAATACCTGAATGCATTTATTATGTATTGTCTTTGTGCGTAATTTCATTGAACAGTATTGAAATAAATATCAAATTTTACACAAAGAAAACTTAGGCCAAATAAAATTAAAAAATTTGTTCAGATAAAAAAATGATGTGTAAATGCATTTATTTGGTCTAGTTTTTCCCTAAAAGATTTTAATACAATTTTTTTAAAATAAGATCTAGTCTTGAAAAGCAATGAATTTATAAATGCTGGGAATGTTTATGGATTTTCCCACAGCAACTCACCATTTTTGTGTTGAAGTTCTTAGAACACACTCGCACTACTGGCGAAAACCGCCAAACAAATAATTAACGTAAAATAAAAAACAAAAAAGGTTAATTCGAAAATGGTTCCGTTTTCCACTTGCACTGTTCGATTTCAACTGAGTCGGCTTCTAGACGAGCTTGGGCTATTTATAAGTCCGCGGCTCTTGACTCAGGTGAGAAACGGTGAGCGATGTTGGCGTCATCTCTCAGCTGCTCACCTTCCTCCTCCCCCCTCTCGCTCCCTTCCACTCACACGGAAAACAAATTTTAGTTTTTTTTAAATAGTTTTAGGTGTAACATGTTCCTGAAATCTACAAAAAAATATTTTATTTGGGTGATTATTTTACAATTTTCTAATATTATTTCTGCTTCATATTAAGAGTTGCAAAAAAACTGATGAATGTTATGGTGACGTTCGATTAAATATAAGTATTAACATATTTTATATGCATCTTATACTGTAACCGTTAAGAAAAGAGTAGATTCAAATGATTCCAGTCAGCGAAATTTACCAAACCCTCAAGGAACTTGGGTAACTTAGAATTTGGTACTTTTAAATATTAATGGTCGGTGGTTAATATGCTCGTATACGTTTTTAATTTAATTGCATGTGGTTTCTGGTAAAATGCGCGTTTTGAAAGTTTACAACAAAATGGATTTGCGTGATTTTAGATGTTTGAAAATATTTTATTCTCTTAAAAGGGAGAGATTTAAAAACTTTGGGCTCCCAAATGTTTTAGTTTGTAGAACAGTTAAAGATAGCTCAGATGTTTTTAGTAAATAAAACCAATAGATTAAATATTTTTAATATTTATATAGATCTATATTAACAGCTCAATAATATTTCGTTTAATTATGTCCGTTTTACAGGTAAGAATCCGCTGAGGTACCTTAGTTCATCAGGTTGAAAACTATTTCTGTTGACAAGCTTGCTGTTGACTTTTCGCTTGTTTTAAGCATTGCGCCGCTCGATTTCAGTTAAAATCATTTCAGAGATTGAGTCAGCCGATCGCTGGCTCATTCATATATTTGTTTGGGCATCGGGCTATTTATAAGCGTGTACTTGACAACTTTGCTTCGCTTTGGCCATGCCTGCTTTGAAAGCTCAATTCTGCGTGGGCCCCTGCATCCAATATAGCAGTTTCCTACTATAAACAGCTCTGAATTGAAGGGAACTTGATTGGGAACGGAGAAATTTCCCCTTGAATCTGGGCAGGTCCTGTGGATTCGTGAAATTACATAATTTCTTACTGTTCTATTAAGACGAAATTCATGTTCGTCCGAAATAAACCTAAAAATGCTATTTGTCAATGAATTTTATATAAGACAAATTGGACCTCGCAAATGCGATATGGGTTACCCTTAATATTATGGGATCTTTCTGTTACAAATACAAATACATACAAATGCCTTGGTCTCGGTGGCAACGAGTCGCTTTAGAAAATAAGTTAAGAGACCACATCCGCACCATATATTCATTACTAATTACAAAGGGAAATATTTATATGGTCATTTTGAATCAAGTCAGAGCGAAACCATTTGTTGTTGAGTTTATTTTATTCTCAAATGTTGTAGTATAGTAATAAAAGTTTGATCATTCTCCAAACTTAATTAACTGAAGGTATTTGCATATGTTTCAACCTAAATGCTGTCGGAGATGAGTATTAAATCACTTGTTTCCGTTGAACCGGCTAAACTCAAAGTATACAGAAAATATTTAACTTTTTAATTAAAGTAAAATATTTTTTTAAGCCGTGCAAAGAAAAAACGCAAAAACGCGATAAATGAACAGCAATTTGTCATTCGTTCGTTCTAATTAACAAATGTCAAAACGCAAAGAAAAAAAACTATAAAACAAATACATTTTGTATCCTTTCGGTTTTAAAGTCTTTATTTAAAGCCTTCGCATCGATTTGATTTCAAAGAGCCCGGATAAAACAGAAAACCGGATCCGCCGCAAAACTGCACTGGAATTGAATCAATTAAAACAAATCTTGACATTCGGCTGCGTGGGCAGGTAACAGAATAAATAATAGAGATGGTTTGACCTATAGCTATTGGCGGGCCATTTGCAATGGACTTCCATTTTCAAATTAAATGCGTTTAATTTAATCGCGTTAGCCCGGCATCAAATCGATATGCGAATATTCTAGATTGAACTGACAATTGCAACGCCATTCAGCCCAAAAAGGGGGTTCTCGGTCTGGATTTGACCCGGCCAAGACCAATTGACGCATGCCGATTGGCCATAATGGAACCAAAATTCACCTGAAGACCCTTGGTTGGCTGGTGGCACCTGGTCGGAAGCCAATTTAATTATGCCGCTTGGCGAACAAATCTTTTGGCTTAAGCAGCTCTTCTTTCAAACGGCCCAGGTCGTGACAGGTTGGTCTGGATCCCAAGGCCCAATAAGGCCCACTTCTTTTCCTTCATAATTTATGCCGCCCAATATCAATCATATTCAATCATGATGCCTGCCTGTGTGTGAGCTCTATTCTGCTGTGGCTCCCACCGCCCACACCCGACATTCCTGGACGGGTCATTCCCCAACAGATTGCCATTGACAAATGTTTTATAATCAATTTGGCATTATTAATTTGAATACACGCCACCTGCGAGCAATCATCCCCTCTCTGCCTCGAACTTCTGGACACCTTTCCATGGCGGTGGCTCAAAGTGAAACTAGACAACACCGAAACGGGCTTATTTGCGGTGTGGCGAACAGGTTTCGCAGAGGCGTACGGGGCAAGGTATATTCAGGGGCAAGGGCAGGAGCAGGGGCACAATGGAATCACCAGGAACGTTCAGAAGGGATACTCTTTACTCGGGATGTGGACTTTAAAAAACGTATGATTTGCAGAAGGACAGTTTGCATTGGTTAAATGTTTCTTCCGCGGAGAAGGTGATGTTTCCGGCTCTTAAAAATATAACCATATTAATCATAGGTTTAACAATAAAACTATTATTGGGGTCGCAAAGTGGTAACTTACTTTCGCACCAATGTTACAATATTTAATAAATATACTTAATTTTTAAAACCAAATTCCAAACTCAGTCATTAGGTTAAGAAAATACTTGTTATGAATGTAATACATAATACATTAAGGTCTTAAAATATATTTGTACACAAATTTGTTGTTTTAGTCATGCACCTTTATACGTTTTTTATGCGGAATATTTGAAGATTCATTGAAAGTAACTATCAAAATATTGTTTTTTGACAGCTTATATTTTGGAATTTTATTTTATGTTCATATTTGTATCTTATCAAAGTCATGTGACTATTTTATTAAGAAGGACTAAACTAAAAGGGCCATATATAGTAGGCTGTCCAGATGAGCCTGGCCACAAGTGAGCATTCGGTGCGAAACCTATTCCATTGTAATTGCTGGAAGGGGCTGGGTTCGAGTGGCGCGAAGTGGTGTCCTGGCCCAAACTTTTTCGGTCTAATTTGCAGCAATTTGCATAATTTGCGGCTAACTGATGGATTTTGTATAAAAGGGTCTGACCAACAACTCGGGCTCAGGAGTTCCCACTGAAACTAGACAAGCGCCATCATGAAAGTGGACTCGACGAGGGCCCTGGTAGACCACTGGCGCATCTTTCGGCTGACCGGACTGAACCCGCCGGCCAGGAACACCGTGTGGGGGCGCCACTACAGTGCCTACTCGCTGGTGTGGAACGTGGTGTTCCACCTCTGCATGTGGGTGTCCTTCACGGTGAACTTCCTGCTGTCCAACTCGCTGGAGACCTTCTGCGAGAGCCTCTGCGTGGCCATGCCGCACACGCTCTACATGCTGAAGCAGTTCAATGTCTACCGGATGCGCGGGGAGCTGCTCCACAGCCACCAGGTGCTCCGCCACCTGGACAGCCGGCTGCGCTCCTCCGCCGAGTCCCAGATCGTCGGCGAAGGCATCGCCAGGGCGGAGTTCATATTCAGGATCCTTGGCCGCGGCGTTTTGGGCGTGATCGTGGTCGGCATCCTTTACATCGTGCTGGCCAACGAGCCCACCCTGATGTACCCCTCCTGGATTCCCTGGAACTGGACGAGCAGCTCCTCCTCCTACCTGCTCACCGTCGCCCTGCACACATGCGGCATAATCGCGACGGCGGCCGTGGTCCTCAATTTGAGCACCTATCCGGGCACCTACCTACTCCTGCTCGGCGCCCACACCAAGGCCCTGGCCTGGCGAGTCGGCAAGTTGGGTCACGGCAGGCCACTCCCGGCGGACCGGGTGCAGGCACTCCTGGTTGGCTACATCCAGGACCACCAGATTATCGTGCAGTAAGTAAGGGAAAACTTGCACTTACAAGGCACTTGCAGAAATAAATACCTAATACAAAGTATTAAAGTATTAAAGTATTTCCTATTATTTTCCTTTAATTTTCGGATTATTCCTGTAAAAACTATATCCAATTTTTATTAAATTAAAATAGTATTTGTGATTGTTCCGATGGCAGTCATATTAACAGTCGTCCGATTTTATATAACTTAATAATCAGTGTATTATCTCGTTCCGGTCTCATTTAGATAGCGTTAAGGCTGAAAGCTTATTTTGCGTACAGACTGACGGAATTGGCTACAAAAGCCTGTGATGCCGATCAAGAATATATATACTTCATAGGGTCGGAAATTTCTCCTGCAAGGTCTTGCAAACATTTGACTGAAATTATATTTACCTCTGCAAGGGTATACAAATAATTATAAAATAATAAATTATTTCATTTAAGAAAACTGGGCAAATCCGGTTATTATCGCATAAAGTGGTTTTTAAATAAGTCTCGCTGACTAAAAGAATATATGTGTATCCATCTGAACGCGATATTTAGTGAGCTAGAACACCTAAAGTGTTGTGATTTAACTGGGCAAGTTTTGTAGTGCTCACACACCGCAAGTTCGTTTAACGTTCTCCGCATTTGGAGCGGCCGGGAACGGACGACTATATCATATAGCTTTCATATAACTGATAGATCGGATATGCCATAATTTTGGAGTATGTAAAGTTAGGATGATGGGATTTTCTATGGGTTTTATATTTGGCCATTCAATCAGACCTACCAAATTTCATAAGGATCGGCCGACTATATCGTATAGCTTCCATATAACTGAATGATTGGAAATGCCATAACTTTGGTGTTTTTGAAGTAAGGAAGTTGGGATTTTTTATGAGTATTAAGAATGCATCATATGAATAATTTTTGAGAATATAATTTACAGAATATTCTGCAGGGGTATATCAACTGCGGCTCGCCCGAAGTTAGCTTTCCTTTCTTGTTTATACTCAAAATGAGCAAATTCACATGTTTTTGTAACATACAAAAGCACACTATGAAATATACAAAAAGTATTGGTAAAGAGTTGCTTGGACTTCGAAGCTTCTAGACAATCGATTCAAAGCAATTCGAACCTAAATGATTTTTTCTTAAAAGAGTGTGCCTTGGAAAAAGGTGCAACTTTACCTGCTATCATACCTGTAAATGTATTCATTAATAAAATAGTACATTTTGTATATATATATAATAAAAAAATGTAAGCAAACGAATTCAGTTGAATAAAGTAATCAATATTAAAATGAATTTTAGCAAATGCTTAATTAAAATTCAACCAATATAAGGAGAAAAAAAAACGTATTTAATAATTAAGACAAACAAACAACAAGAAAGGAAGCAAACTTCGGCAAGCCGAAGTTTATACACCCTTGCTGTTATTACAAACCGACTACATTTTGATTTCTATGCCTATATTACTAAGAGCAAAGAAAGCTATGTCGATTTTTGGATGCATGTTGCCATCGTTTCTATAGCAGCTATCTGATATAGTAAATAATTACTATATCTCAAAGGAATATTTTGATAAATAGAAAACAGCAAAATAACAATTTTTTCATTTTAATTTTCATACCCTTGCAGAGGGTATTATATTTTCAGTCAAAACAAATTGCAACGCAGTGAAGGAGACATTTCCGACCCTATAAAGTATATATATTCTTGATCAGGATCGCCTCCTGAGTTGATATAAGCATGTCGGTCTGCAAATGTATTTGCAATAAATTCAAAAAGTGTAAGCAAACAAATTCAGGACAATAAAGTAATTAATATTAAAATGAATGTTGTCAAATGCTTAATTAAAATTTAACCAATATAAGGAGAAAAAGCAATCAGTTTTAAGTATTAAGGCAAACAAACAAACCCACTAACATATACAGAATTAGTGGTAAGTAGTAGCTACTTAACTAGGCAGTGATTTTATTTAAGTATTTAAATTAAGACTACAAATTTAATAACATTTATACTAAAACCTTTTTTAGCTTTTGTAATTGATTAAAAATTCGTATTCATTTAAATTTGTGTTCAAATTCATAATTATAATTCATATGTAAGTCTCCATTAACTAATGCAACTTGACCATTGAAGCTAATTTCGTCAACTTGGATTTTATTCACCCTTGCAGCTGTAACAAGAATGTCAATTCTAAAAGTCGATTATTTATCGATTTGACGGACATTCACTTTTACTTGTCATGACTGCGGTGTTTGATTAAACTAATTGAGAAATAATCTGCAGGGGCTGACATGCCGAAGACTCTTATACCTACATACAATTTTAGTCCATCCTTTTCGATAATGACTTCGGTTAGCCTAAGATAGCTTTCCTTCTAGTTTGTTCAAAAAGATTGTATTATGTTCATGAAGAAGTCAACCACGATTTTACCATGTCGCCTCTCACTGCAGCCTGCTCAAGTCGCTGGAGCGATCGCTGTCGATGACCTGTTTCCTGCAGTTCTTCTGCACGGCCTGCGCCCAGTGCACCATCTGCTACTTCCTGCTCTTCGAGAGCGTCGGGGTCATGCGGTTCACAAACATGTTTTTCCTGCTGGTGGCCTTCACCACCGAGACCCTGCTGCTCTGCTACATCGCCGAGATCCTTTGCCAGGAGGGGGAGGACCTGCTGGCGGCAGTCTACAGCTGCAACTGGCTGGACCAGTCGGCGCATTTCCGGCGGCTGCTGCTCCAAATGCTCCTGCGCTGCCAGAAACCGATGATCTTGGTCTCTGGAGTCATAGTGCCCATCAGCATGAAGACCTTTGTGGCGGTATGTGCACGGGGAAAGTCTTCGTCCTTTTCATATAGCTTGTAACCTTGCAACTCCAGGTGGTGAAGGGAGCTTACACCATGCTCACCCTGCTGAATGAAATGCGAAAATCGTCACTGGAATACAACTAATAGCCTCATCGATTTAAAAGTACTTGTATCACTGGAAAAGTTGGGCAGCAAAATGAAGAAAGGCTGAACTAAAGGATACCCTCATAAATAGTTTTAGTAAACCGCTCGGTTCAAGAAACGTAGAAAAAAATGTCTAAAATGTTAATGTTTTTATACATAGTAAAAAAATGTAGAATTTCTAGTTAGCACAATCGACATACAATAAAAAAAAGCAACTTAGTCAAACAAGAAAGAAAGAAAAACCATGAAGCTAGATCAATTTTCGACAATTTTTTTTAAGAATTTCCACCGTTTCTATGGCAGCTATATGATATTGTCATAACCATAGTTCTGAAATTGTTAATATAACTATATTTCGGAGTATATGGTATACTCATATAAAGAAACACCGAAGTTATAATTTTATTTCTCTTTTTTTTCCGACGGTTTCTATAAACTACCTACAACAGAAAGAAGGATTTCTGCTAAGTTGCATGCAAATAGGCCAAGTCGGCCGACTATATCCTATAGCCGCCATATAACTGATTGATCGGATATGCCTTAACTTTGGTGTTTGTAAGTTAGGAAGTTGGTATATTCTATGGGTTTTATTTTTGGCCAATCAATCCGACCTACCAAATTTCATAAGGATCGGCCGAAAATACCCTATAGCTGCCATATAACTGATTGATCGGATATGCCTTAACTTTGGTGTTTTTAAAGTTAGGAAGTTGGGATTTTTTATGAGTATTAAGAATGCATCATATGAATAATTTTGGATAATATAATTTACAGAATATTCTGCAAGGGTATATCAACTTCGGCTCCGCCTGAAGTTAGCTTTCCTTTCTTGTTATTAATTTGCATATTTATAAGTTATAAATGAACTGGATAAGGGTACTTTCCAGCCTGAAGACACTATTATTCTTGTGTCCGCATATTGGAGGTGGTTGCTACCCGAAGGGCAAAGTCAAGGCAACGATTGCACTTCTGCTCTGATGTTGAATGTGATTCTCGAAATCAATTCGAATACCGGAAGACGGTGTCTTCAAACATACCTGCGCACAGATAAGCACTTTCAGTAGCATCTGAAGATCATTCTGCGGTTCTAGATTAGCAGCTAGCTATAAATAAATACATGAGTACGCAACGAGTGCGATAAGCTTTCGCTTTTTATACCCAGGGGATATTCATTTAGGTCAGTAGTTTGCAACGCCATACATTTCCGACCTTATACCTTATACAATACAGATATTTGCTGATCGAAAATAAATTACAAAATTATAAAACTGCTTTGGAAACAGAATAAAGGCCTGTAACCCGTTGAAAATTCTCTAAGCCTGAGATTTTCTAGTAGGTGTGTGGTGTTTGATTTTTGATTTTATTTGGGATCCACTTCTTGTCTTCGACGCTCTGGGCTCATCGTCTTTCTTAACTCTTCTTTGAAACGTTTAACTAAGAGTAGGTTTTAAATATGTTATTTGCTATATTTTCGAATTTGTCCATTTGCGCTAATAATTTCTTTAGTTTTTATGTGTGTTCTACTGATAATGTTTTCAGTTCTAGTTATACCCTTGCAGAGTGTATTATAACTTTGCCCACACCCTTCGTTCCTTTGCACGCAGTATATAAGTCGGAACGGCCGGCATCGGCTGACTATATCCTATAGCTGCCATATAACTGAACGATTGGAAATGCCATAACTGTTTTTAAAGTTAGGAAGTTGGGATTTTTTATGAGTGTTAAGAAAGTATCATATAAATAATTTTGGAGAATATAATTTACAGAATATTCTGCAAGGGTATATCAACTTCGGCTCCGCCCGAAGTTAGCTTTCCTTTCTTGTTTTTATTATTATTCAATATATGACAAAGTCGTACTTTCTTTCGGTGTTGCCATTTCCGTTCTCATTTTTCGGTGATGGTGTGTTTTCAGGTTCGGGTTCTGGTTCGGGTTCTGGTTTGGGTTTTGGTTCGGGTTCTGGTTCGGGTTCGTAATCGTTCAAATTAGTGATAGCCTCATCGATAATCCAATTTCGAAACATTGCTACATTGGTATAAACCGCCGGGACGTCTTGCATTCCGCACTCAACGCCAAAGTTCACAATGCCGGCCAGCTCATACCTTTGGGGATCTTCTTGGTGGGGACAAGCCAGCGGAGAGCCACCATCGCCCTTGCAAGAGTCCTTTCCAAGCTCCCCGCCTGCGCACAAGAGGCTGTTGTGGAGCTGGAATTGGTTTCCGTAGAATCGACGAAGTTGATATTCGCACCTTTTGTTCTGGACTATTGGTAGCTTCACCTTCTTCGCAGCGCGAGTAATCGAAGGTCCTATTAACCGGCGGCAGGCAGATTGGCTTAATGTGTTTGGTAAGTGTTAGCGGAGTCTGAAGGAACAAGAGAGCCACATTATTGGCCCCGTTCCTTTTGTCGAAGCCAGGATGCCGAACGATCGACCGGATTCTAGCATCAACATGTGGAAAATGCTCGGAGTTGGTTTTGAAGTCCCATTCGCCAGCGCGGGCAATAAGCTGGTTTTCGTTTCGGTTGTCGGTTACGTCTTTGGCTGTGATGACCACCTCGGGAGAGATAATGGCGCCACCACCCAAGTATTCTCCATTAATATCGAGCAAGGCCACCATCCAAGGAAACTCGAACTCCTGGGCAAAGCCATCCATGTCGCGCACTTCGAAGGATATGCCTCTGCTGTTGGGTCGCCCGCACTCGGGATTAACCGTCTCTTCGACGCTTATATCTGGCCCGTTATTCTGAAAAGGCAGCCGATAGTTAGTATTATCTTTCAAACACTGCAACAACGTCACTTACAAGTATGTGTATATTTTGACAGCAGGTTTCCGGCGCAGGGCACCCATTATTTCCATTAGACATGGCTCGGAAATCTACTTGATACCGGCACTTATGACGCGGCACGCACCTTCTCTCTCTTGGGGGCCAACAATCCTGGCCCAGGACCTGATAGGTGACCAGGAAAAGGAACAGGATTGGAAGAATTCCGTGCAGACGACGCATTCTTGTTTGCGGTGAAAAAGGAACTGCGGCTTCTTGAGACAGATAGCTGCTATTTAAAGCCTATGGTTCTTGTGACCTTATAACCCGAGAAGAGACATCGCATCGCAACTGATTTAAAAAAAAACCCAGTGACTCTCTCCACTACTAAATGCGTATACACATACATAATTTTAATGGGGCTTCAATACGTGAGCGTGCCAAATATATTGGTTGTTTACGAGATCCCGATTTTTCCATACAAATGCACATAGCATATTTGGACTTGGCTGTTGATGCTTATTAAGAAATGTGCCGTTAGATTAGAAACTTTGGGCAAAAACTTCTAGCATCCATATTATTATACCCTTGCAGAGGGTATTATAATTTTGGTCAAAAGTGTGCAACGCAGAGAAGGAGACATCTCCGACCCTATAAAGTATATATATTCTTGATCAGAATCGCATCCTGAGTTGATATAAGCATGTCCGTCTGTCCGTCCGCCCGTCTGTCCGTCTGTCTGTTTCTACGCGAACTAGTCTCTCAGTTTTAAAGATATCGAATTAAAACATCATACACACCCTTCTTTCCTTTGCACGCAGTATATATGTCGGAACGGCCGGAATCGGCCGACTATATCCCATAGCTGCCATATAACTGAACGAATGGAAATGCCATAACTTTGGTGTTTGTAAAGTTAGGAAGTTGGTGTTTTTTATGAGTATTAAGAATGCATCATATGAATAATTTTGGAGAATATAATTTACTGAATACTCTGCAATGGTATATAAACTTCGGCTCCGCCCAAAGTTAGCTTTCCTTTCTTGTCGTGGATAAAATTGTGCTGTTTTTAAAGTGTCACTTCTTCCAGCGGAATTGGCTTACCTGTCGCCCCTTGACAATCACCCACCATCGGAACATTCCCTGCATTATAATTGCATTCCAAGCGGAGGGCTTTTCACTCGGACAGGGCTTTTAATTAATACTGCATAATGCAGAAGCTTATTATTAAATGAATCGAACGGAAATTATAGTAACACAAATTCGTCTGACAGCTGCACCACACGACCACAACTGCACAGACGGTTCCTTAATAGACATTTTAATTGAAGCCACCCCAAGTGGGCGGGGCACTCGCACCACTCAGGTTATCATATTTGCAAAAATACGCTGTTCCAAAAACCAAGCTTTAAATGAAAATGTTTCAAGAAAATATTACGCAAAACTTATTAATCGAGATATGGTCTTATAAGATTTTAGGCATAAGGTATGTTAAAACCGGAAAATGCAAAAAATTAAAGTATACAAGTGTAAAAATATTTCATTATTGTTGAATTAACATTTTTCAAATAGTTGAATTTTTCAAGAAAGTTAAATTTCTTAGCCGAAAAACACCCACAGTACAAAGGTAATATCCACATAAGTCAATTAATGGATATGAGATTAATGATTTAACCGATGCGCGGTTCAAGCGACGCTTTCAATCTGAATTCTTTTCGCAGTCGACGCACTGAATATGTATAAAAATATGAAATTTCCAACATAATTATGTAACCCTTCAGTGCCAATTGAAAAGGTTCGACAATAAGCTGGCTGAACACAGATCAAAATACGTGAAATGAGTATATTTTATTAAGTGTACCAACAAAAAATTAAATCCATAAATGTAAACGTAACATTAAAATACAAATAACGAGTTCTAGGACTTAAACATTGGAAATACACATATATGTTGGCTTAGGCAAATGTTTATTTGGCGAGTCTATTGGGAAATTTCTTAAATATTTACACAAAAACCGAATGAGCGCTGAGTGCGGGCAAACTCATTAAAAGTTGGAAAGCCAAACTTGAAGGCACCAGTTTTGCATAACAACAAAGAGCAGGGGATTAAAAGGGGTAAATTGAGTAAAATACGTAATTAGCGTACCGAAAAACAGAAGCAGCAACAGCGGATAACAAATGGGAAAGCCAAACAAAGGTTAAAGAAGTATGAATTGGGTCTGGTGGGTGGTGAAATCGAGCTTAAAGCAACGCCATCATCGCTTTAGGTGATGATGTTGCTGTTGCTGTTGCTGTTGGTTATGCTGCTGCTGTTGCTGTTGCTGCTGCTATTGCTGTTGCTGTTGCTGTTGCTGTCATTGTTGCTTTGAGCGCTTTAGGGATATTTCACAATATTGTTGCTGTCACCTGGCAGCTGTCCCCCACTTGTTGCGGTTGACTGTTGCTTTAGTCCTGCTGCCCTTGGTCCTGCTGCTCCTGCCCCCGATGTTGCCGATGCACCCAGTGCTGTTGCTGCTCCCGGCTGATACAAATGCGTGCCATAATGCACGGCGCCCGGGTGGCTGAAGTATGGTATGATGGCCGGCGAGGCCGCGGTCATAATGGGGGCGGGCGTGGGCCCGGCTAAGAGGGCACCGGAGCCGGAACCGGAATCTGGGCCCTGCGACTTCGCTCCTCCGTCGGCGGCCGGCACATAGGGCGATACATACTGCTGCGGGGCGTGGCTGTAGAGCGGCTGCAGCACGGACGCCGGCTGGTAGTGGTGGTAGTGATGGATCGGCGGTCCATTTGCCGGCGACAATCTGACCACGTGAATGGGGCCCGCTGATTCGTGGACCATGTTGTAGGCGGCCTTGGGGTTATTATTGCTGAAACGTGGCAATATGGCGAATTGATGTTGCTGCTGCTGCTGTTGCTGCTGCTCGGCGGGTGCTTGCACGTAAATGGGGTTGTAGTGCACCACGGGCAAGTGTTGCTGCCGTGCCGCTATTGATGCTGCCGTTGCTGATGCAGCTGCCTCTGCTGTTGCTGTTGCTGCCGTGCTCGTTGTTGAGGTTGTTGTCAGTGCTGTCGGTGCTGTCGGTGCCGTTGGCGCTGCTGGCGTGTATTTCTGCTGTTGCTGTTGTGATTGTTTCAAGGACTGTTGCTGATGCGGCTTTTGGTATTGCTGCTGCAGCGGATACGCTGAAAGACACGAACAGAACAAGTTGACTTTAGAGATCAGGTGCAATGGTCTTTTCCCATGCCCAAAGCAATTCGCTAATTACCAATCAAATCGGGGCCTAAACAGGGTACAGCTACGCGTGGAGTTACATTTCCGGGGGACTTTGTGACTTTTTTGGGATATTGGTAGTTGTCCCAATTAAATTAAGAGGGTAAATAACTAGCCCAAATAAAGTTGTACATATATTTTTTTAGTACCTATTTTAAAAAGATATTGAGTGTATTAAAATCTGTTTAATACGTTTAAAGTTACTGCGATTCAAATACTTTTAGCTAATAGGGGTTTAACTTTTGCAGGATAGCAGGCCTACGAACGTATTTTTATACCCTTGCAGAGGGTATTATAATTTTGGTCAGAAGTTTGTAACGCAGTGAAGGAGACGTTTCCGACCCTATTTTATTTTATATTCTTGATCAGGATCAATAGGGGAGTCGATATAGCCTTGTCCGTCTGTCCGTCTGTTTCAATACCGTTTGCGAGCTCAGTTTAAAAGCTAGCGATCTGAAACTTTCACACTCGTCCTAAAACATGTGTACGCAGATCAAGTTTGAAAATCGCCCCGATCGGACGTCTATATCCTATAGCTCCCATAGGAACAATCGGATATATCTTGCAAGAATTGATGATATTTCGCGCAGTGTAAAAGCTATTGACATGAATCTTTCCAAATCGTATTTTTTTATGCATACCTTGATCAGGGTAAAAGCGCGTGGCGATCGGACGTCTATATCCTATAGCTCCCATAGGAACAATACGGTGAAATCGGTCCAAATTTTATGTTTTTCAGAATATTTCGCGCTGTGTAAAAGCTATTGCTATAAATTTTTTCAAATCGTATTTTTTTATGCATTTCTTCATCAAGGTAAAAGCGCGTGCTGATCGGACGTCTATATCCTATAGCTCCCATAGGAACAATCGGATATAACTTTCAAGAATGGAAGATATTTTGCGCAGTGTAAAAGCTATTAACATAAATCTTTCCAAATCTTATTTTTTTATGCATACTTTGATCAGGGTAAAAGCGCTTGGCGATCGGACGTCTATATCCTATAGCTCCCATAGGAACAATACGGTGAAATCGGTTAAAATTTAATGATTTTTAGGATATTTCGCACAGTATATAAGCAATTGACATGAATCTTTCCAAATCGTATTTTCTTATGCATACCTTGATTAGGGTAATGGCAGCTACAGCTCCCATAGGAACAACAGGGTGAAATCGGTCCAAATTTGTTGGTTTTCTGAATTTTTCGCGTAGTGTGTAAGCTACTGACATAAATTTTTCCAAGTCTTATTTATTTACGCATATCTTGATTAGGGTAAAAGCGCTTGCCGATCGGACGTCTATTTCTTATAGCCTCCGTAGGAAAATTAGTTAAAGGCTGCGAAAGTATCCCTTTTTTTCTATTTTTATATGACATTTTTGCAGTATAAAAGCAATTGACATCAAACGACGCAAATCTAGTTTATTTATGTATACCTTATTCCTTTCGCTACTTTTCGGCAAGGTCTGCAAGGGTATTAAAACTTCGGCTTGCCGAAGTTAGCTTCCGTCCTCGTTTATGTTTGCACACTAATTAAATTCAATTTTTTCAGGTTGACCCTTTATTGAGTAACCCATATTAAAGAAGCATACCATCTTGTATTTTAAACGGTATTATGTGCTTTGAGAAATAAATATATCGTTTTCACTTTAAGTGTAAAATATAATTGGTCCAATTTAGACTGGTTTTTTAATTTAAAACACAAAGCAATCGATAGCTTGGTCATCTATAATCTCTGCCTATCGGATGTGAACAAACGGAGGTACTTTTTAATTTTAGCTTTTGTGTTTCAAGATATTATTGATTTGATTTACTATAAAACTTATAATGGAAAATTTTGGACGAAAGAGTGAACGTTTTGTAAAATAAGTGTGCACCATATATAATACGTGTTAAAAGTGGGCTGAAACAAATAAAAAAGGTGGGTGGCTGGCTTAATATGGATATTGTATAGGAGCAGTTTTCAGTAAAATATAAAATACGAAAGGCTTGGATTAGAAGGCGTTGGGTTAGCTTACCATACAGTGGGCCTGGCTGTTCGGCATAAATGGTGGACTGCTGAGGCTGCGGTGGCTGCAGAAAGACGCGCTGCAATTGCAGTTGGATTTGGGGCTGGTGATGGTGCGCCTGGGGGGAGGGGGCCGGCTGGTAGATGAGCTGGGCGGGCTGGGCGGTCTGGTAGGTGGGTGGTGGGGCAGCGACCTTGGCGAAGGCGGCCTGCTGCTGCTGCTGCTGTTGATGGTGGTGCTGCTGCAGTTGCTGAGCGGCGGCCATTAGCAGGCTGGTGGGTATCTGCAGGTAGGGCTGGTGGATCAGTGGTGCAGTGGGTCCGGCGAGCGGCGCACTGGCGGCATCGGATTGGTAGTAGGGCCTGTACTGACCCTGATGGTCGCGTGCCAGCGGACCCAGCAGCTGCATCAGCGGATGTCTGCTAGTGGGAGCGGGTTGCGGACTCGCCGAAGGTGGGGCCGCGCTGCTGGTGGTGGTGGTGCTGCTGCTGCTAGTGGGTGGTGGGGCCAAGAGCAACTGCTGCTGCTGCTGCTGCTGTTGCTGGTGCAGTTGCTGCTGCTGCTGCAACTGTCGCATGTATGAGAGCGGAATGGCGATGATGTACTGGATGCGCTGCTGCAACTTCTGCTGCGGCTGCTGCAGGTACTTTCCCTGCTGACTGTTGCTGTTGCTGTAGTGGGGGTGGTGGTGGTGCAGGTGGCCCAGTGGTGCGGTGGCCCCCGCCTCCGGCTCCAGTTCGCCGTAATTGAAAATCGTCTGTGGCTGTGGATGTGGCTGTGGCGGGGCAACAACTGGCTTGAACGCGGTCTGCCGCTGGTAGGGCTCCACCTGAGGTGGCACTGCGAAGCTGAAGCGGTGGTGGGGTGGGGCCTTCTGCCCGTGAAACGCCTGGGGAAGTGGGTGGTGGTTGAGTGCGAAGACAGAGATTGCGGCGGTAATTAGATGCATTCGCTTCGGTCCGGGCTGGCCGACATACCTGAGGGGCTGCCTCCGCAGCTGTGTAGCGCAGCGTGGTGGGTCCGAAAATGGGCGTGGGCGCCTCCGCCTCGTAGAGACTCCTGGGTGGATAGATCGGTCGGAACGGGGGCTCCTTGCTCGAAAGACCCAAGTACGGGGCACCTGCGGGGGAATATTTGCGGCGACGCACTGTTAATACTGTTAATCACTTGTAAAGCTGGGTTGCCACTTCATTTGTTGGTTTTAAATGAGAGTTTCCCATATTCAAGCGACAATGCTAAGAAGACTTAATATTTAATTTATTTAATTATTTTCAACCATATTCCAATTGAGCGTTGTTCACGACCCTTTAAATTATTATTTTTTTTAAGATTTTGTCTTTTCGAATGACTTAAAGGAAAGGTATTAACTATATATATGATTGAATCCAAATGCTTGAAAATTTGGAATATGTAACAAGTATTAACAAGTTGTTATATTTTAAACATATATTGCAAGTTTGTAAAAACTCCAACAACCCTTGCTTGTTAAAACCACTATTGGTTTTTGAAAATATAAATAATAATAATATAAATAATAATAAATAATGCAGATCTTGGAAATGTTTAATGTTTTGAAAATGTTTTATAATTTTGTTTTAATTTTACAAAATTTGTACATAGTACACATTTAACCCCCCCCATAATTGTTTATAACAAGATCTACACTTGTATAATATAATATAAATAAATTATACATTGGAAATTGCATATTTTCTATACATCATTCTACATCAAAAATGTTTACTTTTAATTAAAAGCAAACTTACATGTTTTTCTTTCTTCGTGGTAAGGCAGTCTTTTTTATGAACCAAACCCATTGCCAAATCCAAACAACTACCGAGATTTTCTTTCGCCATCCGGATACATGCCATTTATTTCGGATCAGGACCAAAAATATTAAAAATCCAAGCTAGAGCAGCATTATACACCCTTCGCAGGCTCACGTAAATGTGGATATAGATACTTAAGTATAAAAATTGCTTAAGTAGAAGTTTCCCCGATAATACCATGTAGCCGATGAAGAAAGGCGTCAAAGAATATTCGACAATTGAAATGATAATAAAATCAACTATTGCTGCTTCGCAAGAAATTATTCAAGTCCAATTATTTTGATTGCCGTTTTTAAATTGGTGGGGAATAAGCAAAGGATCTTTGGGTGGTTTAAAATGTGGACTCCAATAGTATTCCAAATGCGGAGAACGTAAAAACGAACTTACGATGTGTGAGCATTACAAGAGGCGCCCAGTTAAGTTCCAACACTATCTGTTATTGTCTCCAAGATATCGCCGTTTATAGGAATATAATGAATTCTTTTAGTCATTGAGTAAGGGATACACAAAATAAATTGTGCGAAATGCGCTTAGTTTTGTTTTATTAAAAAATATATCTGTTACTCGTTGACTAAAAGGGTACATATTTACCCTTATACGATAATGGCCTTAATTTATAAAATTAATTTTAGAAACTCGGCTTTAATTTACCAAAAGCAAATACATTTTTAAAATTCGGTTTTTATATAAGTGATTATTTCTGAAACCAATATATACTTATCTTCATGGTCTTGAAATGATTTATCATTGTTATTAAGTTATTTCAGCATTTATTTAAACTCTATAAGATTACTTAAAAAATGTTCCCATTGACATAAGCTATGCCATATATTTGTTTAGTTTATTTATAACCCAAAATTGCATGGTCATGTAAATAAATAAAAATACTCTGAAACCATTATTCATTTAACCATATCCAAAACTTTTATTAAAAAAATATTAGCAATACTCGATCTAGAGAAAAATATAGCCGGAAATTGAAAAATAATATTTTTATCGCAGTTTTCTGCCGGTCGGCTATTTTAATTTGAATATTGAAAATTGCTTGGTACGCGACAAAAAATTTACCGTGCGAAACACAAAACGATTTAAGATAACAGCCCGAAAAAAACAAATTTTAATTTAAGAATAGTATTTCTTAGCTTAAAATGATTTCCTGGAGAACGGTTTGGTAAAAACAAATTAGGAAAATGCTGTTAAAATAATTAAGAAGGTCATTAAATTTAGGCTTATTTCATAAATGAGATTTGTTTCTCGAGATGCAAACTAGTATTAAACCCACGTGAACGTCACCCGTTTTTTTTTTTAGAAAAACTATTTTGAAAACTGTGACCAACACGGAATTTCACTGAGATTAAATTAGCGCAGACAACGCCCCCAAAATGCATTACCTGTCTGATCCGATGAGTCGCGCTTCTCCGTCTTGCTCTTGGCATCCTCCTCGATGCTGGGGGTCAGCTTGGTGGTGGCAATGGCCTCGACCTTGTCAGCGACCTTGGTGGGCACCGCCTCGATCTCCTCGCCGTTGCAGGTCGCCAAAAGGAGGCAGCAGGCGATGGCCGATAGTACCTGGCCATGAACGGAGAGCAAATGAAACTACATTAACTTAAATCGAAATCGAAGTGCACTGAATAAGTTCGAAATTCTCGCTTCGCTTTGGATTCCTTATTGTCAATTTAGTGCATTTAATGTTGGAAAAAGTCGCTTGATTAAAAATATTTTCACTGCAATTCAAAATAATAATTTAATTAAATTGATTTATATGCAATTATAACAATTTTATTCACCGAAGTGCAATTGTTTTCCGCTCTTGTCACACATTATTATTTTTATTATTCCACTGCACACGCGATTAATAACTAATTCTCGTAATTAAGCCAAGCGATGTACAATGAACCTGGCATAAAGGCAATTATTAATAAGCTGCCTGCCAGCAAATACCATCCCATCCATCCCGATGGAGTGTTCGGCCTGTGGTAATCCGTTCAGGCCTATTGTTTATATGTGGTATTTCTGATCTGATCTCTTGAGTTGAGAAATGGCTTTGGCAGGTTTATGGCGGTTAGTTAGACCGATTGGCTTGGTCTGACGGGTTTATCTTTGCCGAATGAAAAGGTCATGGTAGAAACAGGCGCTTAGTTCGGGGTACTTAACAAAAATATGAAAATGACTTAAGCATTAAATTTGTCCTACTTAGATAATAGCATATCAGAGGAAATGTTTGAAAGTCACGGAATTTTGATTTGTTCAAAACAATCTAGAAAATGCCATCTATTGGCGATTGAAATCAGAGAAGTTAGAAGTATTTAAATTCTGAATGTCGTACCTAAATAAGCTAGAGCCAAGTTAAATGATCCTATATGTTTGCATGTCCAAAATCAACCAACCTCGATTAATATTTACATGCATTGGTTATTGAAAAAAATGATCTCCTTCCATAAGCCTTTATTATTTTTCAATGTGTAATAAAAGTGTCCGTTGTCAACTATTGTCCTTTAAACACAAAAATGATTGCATTTAATAAATAATAAATGCGTCCAAGCGACTCCAATAACAATTTAAATACTATCACCCTTCGATTATATGACTGCCTACCATCGTGAGCAATCAAGCGGAAATAATCAAAATAGGCGCTGATTTATATCATTATCAATATTTGATTGCCAACTTTCAGTGAGTTTGATATCAATTATATGGGTTTAATCCTATTTTGCATTATTTACCCGTATGAGAGGCATTATTACAGTTGCTGCTTTATTTATTCAAACCAATATATGTGTACCATACATATGGGCAAATATATAATTTATTTTGTGTGTTCACTTTTTTTTTGCCTTAATTTGGTTTCCTTCTGTCACTCAATTAAAATTCGATTCGTGTGGCGGGCCAACAAAAGCGGCAAACCAAAACAAAAATGAAAAAAACTAAAGCAAACAAATTTAAAAACACTTTTCACGGTTATTTGTTCAATGCGGGCGGACGTTGTTGCGGAGGAGTTCTTTTTGTTGTGGTTAAGTAAACGCGCCGGAGTCGCTTGCGATTTTCACAGTCGCGGCTTAAATCGCTAGCTCGCGTGTTGGCCAACAAAGTGAGAGTGAAATTGGTTTGCCAGCCTTGCGCCGTTTTATAGTCGGCGTTTGGCATTACTGCTTGTCTGAGCTTGCAGCTGCAAACTGGCCGCCAGCAACATGCAGCTCGCAGCGAGCAACTTGCAACTTGCAACCTGCAACTAGCGAATAGCAAATAGCAACTTGCCACCGTTGGGGGCAAGCACCTCGTGGTGTCGCCGCGATCCGGCTGAGCCATTTGTGGAGCACAATCACGGCCATTAACCGATTTCCTCAGCGATTCCGATGGTCATTGTCAGCTGCAGATCCGCCGCTCTAATTTGGCTTGCGTCATCGACTTTTCATGCCCCATCGCCACCCATCTCAGCCATCCCACCCATTCGGAAGTGAGAGCATCGATACACCACAGAAAGAGTTCGTTCACAAGACTAAGCAGAGAAAAAGTTGTATCCGAATAGTCACCGAGATCTTTTCAACGATATCAAACAGATGCACAACATAAACCAGCCATGAAATTATATTAGTGAATAATTTTGAGGTCCAGCTCAGCCCACTTGAAGCTGCCTTAAGTACCACAAAGTCCGGGGCTCACTATTCACTTAGTGCAATTGCAATGAAATAATGTAATTACAGAATATTATAGCAATTCGGTTCTAGGAGTACTTCCGCAGGATCAGCAAGTTCTAGAATGATTTGCAAGCTACAGACAACTTGGGATTTTAGTGACATAGGTATATAGAAGAATAAGCCGGCAAGTCAGTATATGGATATACATTTTCATATTATTTACATTATAATATGTTGTAAAGAAGTCGAATTCGTCAAACATAAGTAATGCAACCTTAAATACTAATTGATGAAAGTCAACCCTTTGTTGTCCTGCTATCGTGAATCGAAAACGCTTAGTACAACCACTTTAAGCTCAAATAAAATAGCACTAATTGCCCACATTACACATTACATTAAGTGCTACTCCTCGCCGTTTGCCCGTTGTTTCCCCAAGTGGCATTAACATGCACTCATTAATAGTTTGTATTTGCATTACGGGTCCTGCACCAGCCAAGTCCTCCAAGTTCCACAAGTCCCCTGAATGCCTCGCAAGCCTGGTCTTGGCCATTTCCGTTGTTGAACGAACCGTTTACAACGGACGATGATTTTACGAGCGCTTCTAATAAAATCAAGTGGCTTTCCATAAAACTAAACTGTTACTTTCGCAATAACACACAACAACACTAGCATTCCGCCGGCCCAACTTTCCCCCTTGGACGATAGTCCACCTTCTGCCGTCGAAGAATGCCCAAGCCATGTCAAATAAAAGTCCCCAATTTGCAGTCGGACATAAAATGTGTGCGGCAAGTTAAAAGTTCTCCCCTCCCCGGACTTCTGGACCAGAGTTTGGAATGCAGTGCAGCTGTGCGGGGGCAGGGGGAAAGGGTCCTCCCCCCGACATCCCCGACAGCCCCTCAACCTGGTGACCTGGACCTGGTAACATCCATTTAATTGTTCTTCCACTGGGGCTGCTTCTTTAGGGGTCTGTGGTTCGGACAGGAAAGTGTTATAATTAGTAGTGCCAACGATGATTCGGGTGGAAGTGGGCGAAAAAGCGGTTTCTCATGCATGGTTAGTTTTTGTTTAGCAAGTTTGTTGGTTCGAAAGGTTGGCCCGGATGAAAAGCATCCGATATGCTGTGCGTCAGTGCGAATATTGTGCTTAAATCAAACGGAGCAAACTTTTTCGGTTTCAGCATATTGAGTTTCTCCCTACTTTTCCTTTTGGGTATGCTTACCGCAAATTGCCTTTGCTGGAATATAAAATATTAGAAAAGACTAGCAGGAAATATTTCCCAAATAAAATGTACTAGAGGTCTTTGCGATCTTTCTGCTTGACTTTTAGAGCTTGAGTGACTAACATTTTAAATGTAAGTGATTCTTAAATGGTAGTTGCTTCAAGCGAATGATTTTTGTTGTTTTGCGACGACCCAGTTTCAAACCCATTACTCAAAGGGAAACAAAAAATAAACGTTCATACAAATAAACCTATACTTTCAGTGGTTATATAACTCAAAATTTCTTTATTACATTTTTTATTATTATTTAGCTTCTCTGCTTTATAAGCCCGACTCATGAGTTTAATTCAAAATAAGATGAACTTTACTACATTTGTAGCTTACATATACTATATATGTTTTGAGGATACTTGTGCTAATAATAAGCCCACCTCTAACTCTGAAATAATGACTGCTAGACCGGAAATCATTGAGTGCCAAAAGGCAATGTTGACTGATTACTTCATACGCACTTAAGTCAGAAGGACAGATTGGTGCACATGAGACTGATTAAAGCCTGTACAACCACATTCGAGTAATTACAAATTAAAACATGAAATAATTATGGAGAAGGAGTGTAATCGAATCGCGCTGCGATCTAACCTAATCGAATTGCAGCGCAACAAAACCAATTTTCTGCCACGAATAATTGCATCAGCTTTATAATGAAATATTTTAATTTGCCACCCGCTCCGTTTCCATTTCCAGTCCGCAGAATAGTATCGAATGCGGGCCAAATTATAGATGAGTGCACAAGCGAGTTCTGCTGACTGACTGATGCAACCAGAAGCCGAATCGAACCCGATAATCCAGGGACGTATCGAATCACGAATAATTGTGTCTGCAGTTTGTCATTTGCGGCCACATAATTTATGGGCCGAGCAGGCCGTTCCAGAAACTAATTAGGGAGGCCGGGGGCTTTAGGCTATAGGAGGTTGGAGGCTGGAGGCTGGAGGCGGTCCACATCGGGCCAGGAAACAGCGATGCGTTGGCAATCGGACTTATGCAATCCGCAGTCGAAACTAAATCAGTGCGCTGGCCAACGCAAAACTGGTTACTGGTTACGGGACTCCAAAAGGAAGCGTGCAAAGCCATCGGCCAGCGCCAATTATTTTCACGGAAATGCACCTCGGGCTGTCGCATTTTGGGTGAAATGCAGCCAGAAACCGAGATCCGCAGCCAGGTGGGGTCTCCGATCCCCAATGACGCCCGATTCGACTGGTTTCGATGGACTTTGGCTCGACAAGTGCACTACTAGCCTTCTTTTGGGTCTTCCGCTGATCCGCCGGTCGCTTTCGACTTTTCCTACACTCAGAAAAACATGTGCCTAAAATATACCCTTTAATATAAGTTATTCAATTTATGAGGTTTTTGTGTTATTTTTATACCCTTGCAGAGGGTATTATAATTTCAGTCAAAAGTTTGCAACGCAGTGAAGGAGACATTTCCGACCCTATAAAGTATATATATTCTTGATCAACATCACCAGGAGAGTCGATCTAGCTATGTCCGTCTGTCCGTCTGTCCGTCCGTCCGTCCGTTTCTACGCAAACTAGTCCCTCAGTTTTAAAGCTATCTGCTTGAAACTTTCCCAAAAGTTGTCTTTCTATTGCAGGTAGTATATAAGTCGGAACGAGCCGGATCGGGCCACTATATCATATAGCTGCCATATAACTGAACGATCGGAAATGCCATAACTTTGGTGTTTTTAAAGTTAGGAAGTTGGAAAGTTCTATGGGTTTTATGTTTGGCAAATCAGTCTCACCTACCAAATTTCATAAGGATCGGACGACTATATCCTATAGACGCCATATAACTGATTGATCGGAAATGCCATAACTTTGGTGTTTGTAAAGTTAGGAAGTTGGGATTTTCTATGGGTTTTATTTTTGGCCAATCAATCCGACCTATCAAATTTCATAAGGATCGGCCGCCTATATCTTATAGCTGCCATATAACTGAACGATTGGAAATGCCATAACTTTGGTGTTTGTTAAGTTAGGAAGTTGGGATTTTCTATGGGTTTTATTTTTGGGCAATCAATCCGACCTATCAAATTTCATAAGGATCGGCCGCCTATATCTTATAGCTGCCATATAACTGAACGATTGGAAATGCCATAACTTTGGTGTTTTTAAAGTTAAGAAGTTGGGATTTTTTATGAGTATTAAGAATGCATCATATAAATAATTTTGGAGAATATAATTTACAGAATATTCTGCAAGGGTATATCAACTTCGGCTCCGCCCGAAGTTAGCTTTCCTTTCTTGTTTATAATTTATTTTATTTATTTATTAAACATTATGAATAGCTTACAAAACTAAAGCTAACGTAGAAGGGCATATATTTTTTATACCCTTGCAGAGGGTATTATAATTTTGGTCAAAAGTGTGCAACGCAGTGAAGGAGACATCTCCGACCCTATAAAGTATATATATTCTTGATCAGGATCACCTCCTGAGTTGATATAGCCATGTCCGTCTGTCCGTCTGTCTGTTTCTACGCAAACTAGTCTCTCAGTTTTAAAGCTATCGGATTGAAACTTTGCACACACCCTTCTTTCCTTTGCACGCAGTATATAAGTCGGAACGGCCGGGATCGGCCGACTATATCCTATAGCTGCCATATAACTGATTGATCGGAAATGCCATAACTTTCGTGTTTGTAAAGTTAGGAAGTTGGGATTTTCTATGGGTTTTATATTTGGCCAATCAATCCGACCTACCAAATTTCATAAGGATCGGCCGACTATATCCTATAGCTGCCATAAAACTGATTGATCGGAAATGCCATAACTTTGGTGTTTGTAAAGTTAGAAAGTTGGGATTTTCTATGGGTTTTATAT